TCTTCCCTTTTTTCTTAATTATGTTATCACAATTATGTTTTCTCTTAATTATGTTATATCATGTGTTACTGATTGGCTCAGCCTTGGCCAGCAGCAGGTCTGTCTTGGAGCCAGCGGGGACTGGCTGTGTTGGACATGGGGGAAGCTTCTGGCAGCTTCTCACAGAAGCCACCCCTATGTGTCTCCCCCGCTACCAAAACCTTGCCACGCAAACCCAATACAGCTGCCCAGAGAGGCTGTGGAGTCTCCTTCTCTGGAGATATTAATAACTCACCTGGATGCAGTCCTGTGCAACCTGCTCTAGGTGAAACTGCTTTAACAGGGATGTTGGACTAGACGATCTCCAGAGGTCTCTTCCAACCCCTACCCTTCCATGAATGCAAGTATGTGCCTCCCAAAACTCTCCAGACAGTGTTGCATTCTTTGGTCTTCTAGAAGGGAATAGTGTGCCCTGGCAAATACTAAATGTGCAAGCAGGGCTCTGTGTAGACATAGCAAGATTCAAAATTTAAAAAAAAAGGTACCTGGACTGTCGCCTCTCACTAGTTCCTAAGTCTTCATGAGGATTTTGGTAGTACAACAGGAATGACTTCTTGCAGAACTCACCCATGTTCTTACTTGCATTGCATTTTGACAAGTACCTCCACTGAAGTTGTATCAGACAGCCACAGAGCGTGGCCAGGAGGATCGACTCATGATTTATTAAAGTGGACACATTTTCTTGTCCAAATATCCAGTTGTTAGACCACTGCAGTTGTTTTTTGTTGAAAGCATGTTATGTTTTATTACACTTTCCATTCTGATTTTCATTATTCTGTCCTTTATAATTTAAAACTGCATATGCTGTTGAGCATTGTGACCTACTGCGCCAGACCACTGCTCTCTTTTATCTTTGATTACCTCTTTGAAAACTAATTATTTAGTTAAAATTAAAAGCTAGACAATCAACTAAAACTTCCTTTTGTTAAACTTGTAGTTTGACTCTATGATGCGTTTTGACTACATCTTAAAATCTTCTTTTGCTGTTGTCACTTTTGCTCAGCAACCTGACTTTGTTGGTCAAAGTGGTTAACAACATAAAACTCCTAGAGCAATCTAAGGATCACAGCATTTTGGTTCAAACAGCCTTACAGCTGGAATTACAACCTCAAAAACCATGATTCTATATAAAAGCAAAATTGCTAAGCATACAACCTCCTCCCCTTACAGTTTTGTAAGGGAAAACTGAACAACAACAACAAAAACCATCATGGGTTTGCAAAGATTCTGCCATCAAGTCAAAAAGGTTCTAGAAGTAGGAGGTAGTTGAATTGAAATATGACTTCTCAGAACTGGCTGGTTGGGAAGCTGCAAGAACAAAACTTCACTTAAATTCTTCAATGGAAAACTGTGGAAGCACGTTATTTCATGGATGGCCACAGTTTCCTCTCAGTTTCTCAAATGTGACATTCCTTAGACCAGTTATTCAGCAGGTAAGAATCAAGGAAGTCCTGAGCCTCGCCCCACTTTGGTCAATGAAATGTATCTTTTTTTTTTTAGACTTGATAGTTTCAAGTACTGGAATTTCTTGTATATTGCATAAAGGTCAAATAACATCCCTAACATGACTGAGTCTTCCTGCTAAGACCTCCTGCTGTGTGTTTGTGGTCACATTCCTGTGTATCTATATAAAACCAAATTGACAGAAAAGCTACTGAAGGGGATGCATCAGCTGTGTTTGAACTGCTGATCTGAACTGCAGTGTTGCTCTTCATCCCTCAGTCATCTAAGCTGGGGAATAGTGTCACTTAGGATGCAAAACAATCACCACTCCACACTTCCTGCTATCCAGTCCTTTCTGTGTTTTCTTCAGGATGGCGTAAGCAACAAGTTTTATGCCAGACCAGCGTAAGTTGACTTTTGACCTGTAGCAATCAAAAGCAGCTTCTCACATTCCATTGCAATAAAATACATCAAATGGCCTAGCTAGGTTTGCAGTCACTTGTTTTATTTCTGCCAACAGTACCTACCCTTCTTGCATGTTATTCTGCCTGTCCAAATCCACCTTTTTTCCATCTCCTAAAAACATTTTTTGAGTAGTCAGATCAAAATATGGAAGAACTTTTAATGTTTGTACAAGCTGGGTAAGTAGAGAGTCTGAAGTTTAGTTCTGAAGTCTTAAATGAAATAGTCTTTTCAGTGCCTCAGTATCCTACAAAAAACCCCTCTGACCTTGGTCCCTGTAAAAGAGCTAGCTAATGGTTTTTCTTAACACCACTTAAAGTTTTTAAACCCTTGAAGGTCAGTTTCTTTGAAAGCATTCTCCCAGACAGGGCTAGTGGGGCTGCATACCGGAACAGTCTCTGCCTTTGTGCTGCCTGTGAGCAAAGCACCTTCCTCACAGGACTGTGCCTACTGCACAGCACGCATCTCCTAATGCCAGTGGGGCAATGCTCTATTAGAACCTTCTGGGGGAGGAGGCTCCAGAGGAAAGCTCTTCATCAGCGTCTGAAGGTCAGGAAATAGCTTTCTATTTTGGATAGTGATTTCCAGGGGAAATGGCAGGAAGATGTGCCAGGGCAGGTTTAGGTTGGCCATTAGGAAAAGGTTCTTCACCCAGAGGCTGGTGGAGCACTGGAGCAGGCTCCCCGGGGAGGTGGTCATGGCACTAGGCCTGACAATATTCAAGAAGCATTTGGACAACAGCCTCAGATCCATGGTCTGAATCTTGGGATTGTCCTATGCTAGGACAGGAGTGGGACTCAACGAGCCTTGTGGGTCCCTTCCAACTCACAACATTCTTTGATTTCAGAAAGGACTTTGAAATCCACTACTCTACTTACAGTCCTTGTTTTCAATGACTTTAGCCTTTTTAAGAGCATATGCTTTCTTTTTTCCCCTTACCACCTTTTCATGGATGAGAAATCTTCATCTAATCTACATACATACTGCTCCATAGCAGTACCCTTGTAAAGTGGCATAAAAGGGAGCACAATCACCACAGCATTTTGCCCAGAAGACTTCAGAAGAGTAATAGCTTGCCTTTGTCCCAGCTCATGAGATACACTTACTGCATCTTTCTCTTCAGAAGTACATTGTTTCCTTACAATGGAAACAAACTCGGGAACTGTGCCTGTAAGAGTGCCTGAGATTACATCGAAATGAGTAACACCAATTCCAAATATTCATTTGAACCCAGCAGAGGTATAGACTAGCTATTAGAACAGGAAGAATTATATCAAGTACATTATTTTAATAAGCCACAATGACAAATATACAAATACCTATTTACAGAGGAAAAAGTCTTTAGTGCTGAAGTGCAAAAGCAGCAGGGTTGGGTATTTCAGTTCCCCCACAACTGTCCTGCAGATAGACACAGGACAACTGTACCTCTGACAGCAGATAATAGCTGGTTAACATCCAGAATAAAAATAAATACAGTGTCTTGATCAGTTTCGCTGCAGTAATTGGGAAGTGAGGATACACCTTGAGAGGGTGAAAATCCTGGCTTAAAAACTGATTTGACAACTTCAGTACTCTGTGTTCAACTTTCTGCATGCCTAGCATCTGGAAGGTTAAGAGCAGTTATCAAGACTTCCTAAATCTGAGGACAGTTAGCATCTCTTGTCCTGCTTGCCTGGAAAGTACTCGTGTGCCTTCTAAGCCACATTTCTTCATTGTTTCCAGAATTTCATCTGTAATTGAAGGAGCAGTGTTACAACTGAGTTTCTATAGAAATTTGCTATAAAAGGCAGTGCTAATGTATCTCCCAAACATAAGCTGTAAAGCAAAGATTATAAACTGTGTTCTCTGACTCTTTCAGACAGTAATTTTTATGCAAAGTTTTCTTCCACCAAAACCAAATAAGGTTTACATTTACTAACTCAAGTTCTGTATTTTGGTATTATTAATAGCAATGAATAATTCAGTTATGAAGCTAACTTGGAGAAACGGAAATTTGTAGCACCTTCTCCCAAAGCTGCTCAATCAATCAGGTGTGAAAGAATAATCTTTCTTCTTGAAACTACTTGATAATGTGTAGCCATTAAGCATTAGATTGGAAGGAGCAAGTCTGAATCTTTATGCACGTCAAAATGAAAGACCTTACATTTCTAACCAAAGGCTTTTAAGTTTACAATGCCATTCTCTTTCACAAGAAAGGGTTGGCCTGGCTTTGTTAAATCTTGTTCAGAAGATTTACAGTCACCTTTCAGACTTGGAAATGAAGTCTTGCAGAGCTGCTGGGCTCAGGACCTACATATTACCATTTTCCAAACTACCCTAGAGAGTTCTTAATTTTGGTAAAGCTGTTTATATTTTTGGTCACACTGGATGCACAAGGCATGGATTCAGAAAAAGGATTCCAAGAGGTATCAGGTTATGTAAAAGTCCCTCTATAGATTAGACACCCACCCAAACTTGAAAGATGAGAAGCACAAGAGTCCACAGAGATGCCATGGTTCGTATGAAGCAAGCAGATGCACTCTAGCTGTCTGTAGCATTTCTAAAAAATGACCTAGAACATCTATATGAATTTCAATACGTGCTGTCAATCCTCAATTAGTTGCTATCACCACGTGTGAGATTCAACTGATGTTATTTATTACTTTTTCTTGTTTACTGAAGTCTGATAACCTAGAAAACATTGCTATGATCAACTTTTTGATGAATACACTGTTAGATCTGGTTTGGCACATGTAAGGGTCTGAGGAAAGTGATCACCTGGATTATTTTCTTTAATTGTAACCAAATAGAATAATCCTCCTGGTGCAAGTAGGTCTGGTACTAATGGAAAAACTCTATCCATTACTTCTCTGCCCTTTTTGCCACCAGCCCAGGATGCCTCTATTCCATGGCTTTCCACCTAGGAAGAATGAACACAAAGTGCTGTTACAACAGTGCTGATCCTACAACATCCTTTATTATTTCAAAAAACCCTGCAGTTTTCATACCAGAGCTTCTTTGATTTGCCATCTATCCTCTGAGACGAGAAATATCATTTTTATAATGTATTTAAATTTCTTCCTACCTCTTCAGAAGGTGTTACCACATACGGTGGATTAAACAGCAGTAGACCAACCTTCCCATTTAATCTTGGAGACAGTCCCTTGACCTATAGATGAAGTTGATGATTCTTTTGTTTGGTTGGTTGTTTTTTTTTTTGAAACATAAAGAATGCAAACATTTTGTAAAAATACAGTTACATAGTGCTGGATATTCTGAGCATTTCAGACTGACTCAGGAACACTAAACTTTACTTTCTGTGTGCGAGAGAAGCATCAGGAAGTACCCATGCATAGCAGAACAATTTCAATAGTCTTAAGACCATGTCATGTAAGGGATGTAGAAGAGCAAGAGACACATAGGTGGACACAAAGGTAGTACTTTATTCTCACTCAGTTCAAAATTTAAGTTAGATAGAAAAGAATTTTCAGTTTATCATCAGTTAACATTTATTATCCAAAATGACCAATCTGTGGCAACTGCAATTCAGTTCTCAAGTGTGAGCAGTTGTTCATCCATTTTAGATCACATTTATTGTTGCCTATCTTAATCATCTTTTCTAAACATAAATATTCAGGGTATTTTTGAAAAATATCTTGCTAAAGAGATGAGAAATTTAAGCTTTTCTCCCTATCAAATTTTGTAAGAAACAAAAAGTAACAACATACAGTGTTCCTAATTAAATTGAGAATCAAGAATAGCGTAGCATTAGAGGAAGGGCTGTAATAATGTCAGGTCACTGCAGAGTTCCTTGTGCAGCATTTTCCAAACTATAGCTACATAATTTATTTTTAAAATTAATTAATTTTTAAAGCTTAAATTTTAATTTTAGAACTGGAGTAGTTTAGTTTTCCCTTCTTTCAGAAACACTTTGGCATTTTGTTGTTTTCTTTTTTTCATCCATGCTTATTAAAAGATGTTTGTTGTAGACTTTATGGTTACTTTTCAGTATCTCTAAAAAGTATTAAAAAATTACAAAAACTATATAGAAGAGGATATTGAAACATCTGTCTTACCAAGTCAGTAATGACTGGCTGAAGGTGAACATTGTTAAGCAGAGCTGTCTCCAGTGTACAGTAAGCTGCCATCGGGTTGATATCTGTACATCTAAAAGCAAAATATTATGAAGTGTACGTTAGTCGCTACTGTATCTGAAGGTTTAAACCTGTGAAGCACATGCTAATATCCTTTACTTTGCAAATAAATAGGAAAAAATAGCCAGCAAAATACACACAATGTGTCAGCAGGTAAACCACTCAACACTACACTGGCAGTTTTAATGACTGTCTGAAAGCTGAAGTATAGGATTTCCTTTTCAATGCTAGCTCTGCAGAAATATATACACACACAAGTCTCATAAAATTCAGTTACTGCTAACACCCAGGTAACTAATGCTGTGTTGTCAGATGTCAGTGAGACCAGCCAGTGGCTAAAATTTAGGATTCAACCCCGCAAACACAAGTGTAAGCTCAGCAATTTGTCTAAGAAGTTGGAAAATGGAATTTAGTCACACGACTACTTAATTGTTACAGAATCTGAAGTAAATATTTAGACTCTCTTTGCTTTTATTTCCACTGTATTTATCTGTAAAACTGAGATAATATTTCTTTGTGAAAAGAATAGTTTTTAAAATGTGAAAATAAATAGTATATATGTGAGAGATAAGTATTCTTTACTACTGCATGCAACAGCTTAAGTCAGTGCTATTACACTTACATATACAGTGCACTGGAACCGATAATGGACGAAGCTAGAAATGTTGAAACCACACCGGATCCAGATCCTATTTCAAGGCAGATCTCAACTCTAAGGAGAGAAAACCCGGGATGACTTTTATTTGTAACATATAAAAGCACCTGCAACAGACACAGAATTCAAGACAATGTTATGAAACCTGCTGCTGAAGTGCCCTTCTCTCCAACAGGCTGAAATACTTGATGATCCCCCAGCCCTCAAAGCTGTTGTTTCACAACGGCTGCCAGGTCTACTGGTGCCCATACAAGCAGTTCCTGGTTATCACAAGCCACTTTAGGAAACACAAATGTTTCCCCTGTGCCTAACATTAAAGTTTCCATTAACTACACAATCTCAGCAGTACAGACCGCATTTCTACACCATTTATTACACATTTATTGCGGCGAGACTGAACTCCAACAGAAGTTCTGGAAGATCACCATGAAGTCACACAACAAAAGCAGGGCTCAAACGCAGAAAGCCTGAGGAGCACTTCAGCTAGCTCTGGACAAGACGCAGTGGCAGGCAATTTCAATATAACCACTCCCAAGATTAACTCTATGGCGGCTGAGGTCCTGTTGACAGCTGTGGAGATGACAG